CAACTCCTGCATCCCGACCTCACTCCAGAACGAGCTTGGCGCCACTTCCTCTGCAATTCTCTGGCGCGCTCTTTGTGATTTATATGACCGCCGGGACATGGCATCTCTTCATGCCCTCTACCGTGACTTCAACGCTATCACCCTTGACACCTGTGACTATACCCGTCGCCTCAACAACACAGCTCGGCGCCTTCGGGAGTGTGGGGCCACTATTGGCGACCCCCTCCTCATTTGGCGCATCCTCGAAGGACTCACCCTGGCTTATGAGATGCACCGCATCGCCTACGACATAGTTCTCTCTCCCCACGCCACGGCTGCCGAAGTCACCGCATGGGTCCTTGATACTGAAGCCAAGCTTACCCGCCAGTCCCCCTCCACCCTCAACTTGACACAGGGATGCGGAGGACGTGGGGGGCGTGGTGGCAAGGGTCGTGGCCCACCACGCAGTGGCGGAGGCGGTGGTGTTCGAGGTGGAGGGGCTGGTGGTGGCGCTACAGGTGGGACGTCGGGAGGTGACGGGGGTGCTGGTCGCGGTGGACGCTCAGGGGGTTTCCCTCCTTGCTCCTGTGCCATTCGACAGGGCCCCAACAAGGGCCAACGCTGCAACCAAACCACCCACCCTGCTGACACCTGCTTCAAGGCCCTCAATGATGAGTGGTTTTCTCGGAGCAACACAGGTACCCCCCCTCGCTGGGCCACTGTTACCCCTCGCCCCACTGTTCATGACGTTCGAACACTCCCCGCCTATCACCCACCACCTTCTCAGCTCCACCAGGCTCTGGCGAGTCACCTGCCTCCCCACCTGGTACAAGTCTTTCTTCCCCCCCTTCCTAATCCGCAGTCTCAGCAGCAGCAGCAGCGGCGGCGGCAGTGGCGGCAGCAGCAGCAGTAGCAGATGCGCCCGGGGTTCCAGGGCCTTCCGCTTATGCAGCAGCAGTACCTGGGGCCACAGCATCACCCGAGATTCCTGGGTTCCCCCCTCCTCGCTTATCATCCCCAGCCACAACAGCCCCTTCTCCAATAGCAGCCCAACTCTGGCTACCCTTCTGCCCCCCCCAGTATCTCTGACACCCAGGGCAGTTTCCTTGGTCATGTTACCGTTGCACCGCCTGTCGCTTCCATGTATCCCTCTGTTATTAATGAGACGCTATTCCAGTACTCAATGTCACCTCCCCCTCCTTCCTCCCCCACCCTGGACTTTGTCCTTGATAGCGGGGCCACCGAGACTGCACTGAAAGTCGCTGGCACCCTCACCCCCCTACCACTTCCCACCCAGGTCCATGGTGCTGACTCCAGCTTTTCCATCCCATGCACTCACCTCTCCACTCTCCCTTGCACCGCTTTCCCCTCTGGTAAAGTCACCGGTCTCTATATCCCTACCCTCCGCAACAACCTCCTCTCCCACCGTGAGCTCCAAGGTGTTGTTATTACCGCCATTTACCCGGGCTTTGCTACCTACTGTGATCTCTACTACACAGCCTCTGGTCTCTTCCTTCTCTGCATTCCTCTTTGCCCTCGCACTCGCCTTTCCACGCTCTGCACACCCCGTCCATCCTTGTGTCACGTCACCACACGTGCTGGTACTTCCACCAGTCCACCTCCCCCCCCTCCTCCCCCTCCCACTCCCCCTCGGGTATCCTCCTCCCCTACCCCACCATCCTCCTCTCCCCCCCCCCACCTCCTCCCTCACCCCGTCCCCCTCCTCCTCTACTGCCCTCTCCCACCCTGCAGTACTTCTGCATCACAGGCTTGGCCATCCCAACTTCACCGCACTTCGCACCACCGTCTCCTCTCGCCTCCTTAACAACCTTCCTCCCACCTTACATCCCCTCCCCTCCTCCCCTGCTCCCCCATGCCCTTCATGCATTCATGGCAAGCTCAAACAGTCACCCCATCTTCGCTGCTGCCCCCATTGACCTTGTTCACATGGATCCCTGGGGCCCCTATCCCATCCACTCCAGTCAGAGGCACCGGTACATGCTCGTCCTCGTTGACGACCACAGCCGGTACTCCACCGTCTTCTTTCTTCACACGAAAGACCAGGTGCCGGCTGTGGTCATCAACTGGGCTGAGTTGTGCCGCACTCACTTCAAACGCCCCATCGGCCGCCTTCACTCTGACGGTGGGGGTGAGTTCATCAATTATACACTCTCCACTTATTGCAAAACATACAGCATTCTGCAGACCTCCACCCTCCCCCACTCCCCTCAGCAAAATGGCATCGCTGAGAGTCGCATTCGTGAGATCACCAAGATTGCTCGCTGCCTCATTGCTCATGCCTCCACCCCCTCCTTCCCTCTGGAGCTATGCCCTCCTTCATGCCACCCTCCTCCTCAATCTCCGCTCCCACCCTCAGCATCCCTCCTCCTTCCCCACAGAACTCTGGTCCAAGGCCAAGCGTGACGCTGCCGGCCTTCGTGTTTGGGGCTGCAAGGCGCTCATCCTCATTCCACCGGCCGACCGCTCCCGCGCTGCTGGCAAGCTTGCTCCTTGTGCCCTGAAGTGCGTCTACCTCGAGCACAATCGCGACTCCCCCTATTCCTCCACCCTCCCACCAATCGCCTCATCCGCAGCAGCGACGTCGTCTTCGACGAGTCCATTTCCTACTACTCCACTCCTCCGCCTGACCCTCTCCCTCCTCCCACTCGCCCCCTCGCTTGGACCGACACTGTCCTTCCGCCTCTTCTCCTTCCCCCTGTCGCTGCTCCGCTCCCGCCTTCCTCCTCTCCCGACGTCTACGACTCTGCCGCACCCGCCTCCCCGGCCCACTCAGCTGCACCCCCTCCCCCCTCTCCCTCCTCCTCTCATTCCCCCCCTTTACTGCAGCCGCAGCAACAGCAGCCGGATCAACTGCAGCAGCAGCACCAGGGGCAGCAGCAGCCGCAGCACCAGGGGCAGCAGCAGCAGCCGCAGCAGCCGGAGCAGCAGCGGCAGCAGCAGCAGCAGCAGCAGCCAGCAGCAGCAGCAGCAGCAGCAGTAGGGGCAGCAGCCACAGCAGCACCAGCAGCAGCTGCAGCAACGCGCAACTTCCCGCTCCTCCCCCTTTCTCCTCCCTCGCATGCACACCCGCTCCTTGGACCGTATCCTTGGTACCCCTCCTCCTGCCTCCATTCAGCTCCTTAAGGACTCTCATGACGAATTCCTCAACATTAAGCAACACACTCCTTTCCTTGCCTCCCTCTACCTTGACTTCCTCGGCTTTCCCGTCCTTGGCGCCACCACTGCCCCCACCATCTTCACTCCCACCACCTTCTAAGAGGTCATCACCTGCCCTGACGCGGACAAATGGATAGCGGCGATCTTCTTGGAGTGTGAGGCGTTCATTCGCAACGACTCCTTTGTCGATGTCCCCCTTCCTGCCGACGCCAACCTCGTCGAGGGCAAATGGGTCTTTCGGGTGAAGCAGCTGCCGGGTGAGGAGCCGGTCTACAAGGCACGCTACTGCGCCAAGGGTTTCACGCAGACTTGGGGGGGACTTCTGGGCCACCTTTGCCCCCACTGTCAAGCCACCCACCCTTTGTGCAGCCCTCGATCTTGGTGCGCCCGACGACATGAAGGTCTGCTCCATGGACGTCTCCAACACGTTCCTGCAGGGTGACTTGCACGAACGCATTTTCCTCCGGCGGCCCCCTAGTTTCCACGCGGCCTTCCCCAAGAACACTGTGTTGCAGCTGCGTCGCCCTGTCTACAGTTTGAAGCAGGCGCCACGGGTGTGGCATGCAAAGTTGGTTGCCACCTTGGGATCCCTTGGCTTCTTTGCCTCGCACTCTGACGCTAGCCTCTTCATCCGCTCCTCCCCTCGCCGCTTCTTTATTCTAGTGTATGTGGACAACATGATCCTACTTTCAGACACCAAGGCTGACATGGAGCAGATGAAGCTGTCATTGCAGCAGCGTCTCAAATGCAAAGACCTGTGCGTCCCACGTGTTGTATTGGGCGGTCTCACAAAACAAACTCTTGGTGACCGCTGGGCCCGTAGGCCCTTCCTCTTGCGACAGTGGCTCGTAGGCGCGTGGCGATGTCATGACTCGCCACCAGTCCATGGCGGGGCCTCGCACTAAGGAAACGGCGTACCGAATCTTTGCTGCATCCGACGTGATGTAATTAGCGTAAAAAAATACGTTCGTCGTAAATACCCACGATTGAACTGTCGGACCTCCACGCTGGCTAGGATCGATGCAGGGCGGGTGTTGCGGCTTGAGGGGCAATGGCTCACCAATGCCGTCGTTGCCAGCAGGTGCAGCAAATCCGACGTAACGACGAGCCTCGCGAGGTACATTTACGCCCTATATGGTCCTGGTTCTCTCCATGCCTAGCATTGATTGCCACCACTGATTGCGCCTGAGCGCTGTCCCACGCTATCGTGATGTGACAGTGTATACGATGAGACGGCAACCGGCTCATCTGACTGGTGCTGGTGCATTCGCCGTTGATTGCTGTCGGGCGGAGTCGCGTTCTGCCATGAGCGACGCAATTTCGAGTGTCGATTCCTCGAGTTGGCGCAGAAGTTCGTCGAGGCGCTCTTGCATCAAAGTCGCGAGGTTGAATTCAGCCATGGCGGGGGTGTCGGGCGAGCTCAGCGAGAGCCTCGGTTGTGGCTGAGTGTGCTTACGAGAGAGCACACGAGCAGCAGTGCTTGTGTTGAGAATACTAGGCAAGAATGAATGAACTAGGAAGAGTTGGGATACAAAATGGAAACCCTAGAATGTCTTGTACCCCATGTAAGCTACCCCACTACAGCCTACAACCAACAACAAGCATTATAGTTTGACAAACCCCAATAGGCAAAGTGGGGGAGAACAAGTGGTCACAAGACCAGTCAGAACGAACAACACAAGCTCAAGGTGGATCACAAAGTCACCACACATTCCGAGCACAAGCAAGAGGCCACATGGCCAGTTCATATGCATAGATATATAAGAGAGAGCAAACAGTACAGTGATCACTACCTAGCAAGTGTAAGCATGCAGGTATATATAAAGATCACAGTACAGACAAAGTCAAGCAGTGAGCAAGTGAGAGAACGTAGGCACGAGGCCTAAAGCAGTGCAGTGACGCTGATGATCACTAGGCGGAAGTGCCTTGGTGAAGACATCAGCTGTGTTGGCCAGCGTGTCCACGTAAGAAAGAGGAAGCTGGCCCCGCTGCTGCACCTCTCGAGCAAGGAAGTAACGCAGAGCGATGTGCTTCGTTCTGTGCTCCAGTCTGTGCTCCTCACATAAGGCGAGGGCAGCCTTGTTGTCGACGTACAGAACTGGAGGAGAACAAGGCCGCTCTCCCAAGTCAGTCAGCAGGTAGGTGAGCCAGCGTAACTCCTGTGCAGCCATGGCTGCAGCGTAGATCTCAGCCTCACAACTGGAGTTGAGAACAGAAGAAGAACGGGTAGCCCACCAAGAGACAGAATCGGAACCAAGGCTAAAGGTGTAACCCTGTGACGACCGCTGCGTAGCCAAGTCGTCAACCCAAGACGCGTCTGAGTGTCCAATGAGGACAACGTCACCCCGTCCTCCAAGCACGAGCCCCATGCCTGATGTACTGCACAAGTAGCGCAGCACCCTCTAAGAAGCCTCCCAGTGCTCGCGACAGTGTCTACCAGGCGCAACGTAGCGAGCCAGGATGCTAAGAGGGTACGCAAGGTCAGGTCGAGTGCAGGTCATCAGGTACATGAGGCAGCCCACAAGCTCTGGATACGAGCCACTCATCTCTACGGACGTGTCTGAAGGTGGAGCTGAGAGCGAGTGACCGGTAGGCAGAGGAGTGGACTGTGGTGAGGAGAACTAGAAGCCGAAGCGCTGAAGGACTTGCTGCACCATGTGTGACTGAGTCAGGGTGATGGTGCGGCGTGCTCTGTCCCGGGTGATTTGCAAGCCAAGGTAGCTGCGCAACTCACCCAGGTCTGTGCACGTGTGTCTCTTCTGCAGCTCCGACTTCACAAGGGCCAGTGCCTCAGTGTTAGTAGTGGCAAAGACCAAGTCATCGACGTACACGAGGATGTAGAACGGCGACGGCGAAGAAACAGTGACGGGTCAGCAGTGGAAGGAGCAAACCCAAGAGCCGCAAGTGTTGTCCTCAGTGTGTCGTGCCACTCATGAGGCGCCTGACAGTGACCATAGACTGGCCGCCAGAGGCTCCACTGGGTACCAGGAGGGAACGTCCCAGTGAAGCCAGGTGGGCGGCGCAGCCAGATCTCCTCGTGCAGGCTACCCTGTAAGAAGGCTGTGCTGAAGTCCAGAGAGTGAAGCTCGTAGTCACGCTGAGCGGCAACGTGCAGCAGCACCCGAAGAGTAGTCATCTTCGGGGTGGGGGAGAAGGTCTGGAAGAAGTCAACTCCCTGTCGTTGACTGAAGCCTCATGCAACGTAACGAGCCTTGAAGACAGGCGGAGAACCCGGCGGCCGCTTCACCCTGAAAATCCGCATGCCATCGACTATGTTCGCCCCAGGAGGGGGAACCTCATCGACGTAGGTGCCTGTGGACTTCCAGGATGCCATCTCTGCGTCCATGGCTGTCTGCCACTGAGAGGAGTAGGGACCCGAGATCGCCTCTACGTAAGAGCGCGGGGTCGGGATGTCCAGTGCATCCGGGTCTCCCTCAGGTGCAAGCAGCCAGGCCACGAGATGAGGTACAGCAGCCGCAAGAGACTCAAAGTCCTCCTGCCTGTCCTCAAGGACGTCTGTGCCAAGAGCACACTCAACCCCGACGGACGGAGGACAGACAGACTCAGACTCAGCAACCAGACTAGCAGCGTAGTCTAGACGACACGCAGCAGCAAAGTCCACAAGCTTAGCAACTAAGGCAGACGCAGCAGTAGACTCAAACGACGGGTCAGTGACGACAGTAGCCAGAAGACGCGTGAAAGTGGGGCTAGCAGCACGAACACGATCAGACTCAGGGTCAGGAAGCTCAGGAAGAGAGGACGCAGGAGGAGACGGCAGCGGGACGCGCTGTGGAGCAGAGGAGGGACGAAGTGCCATAGTGTGAGTGCCTGGCACAGGAGGAGGACGCGGACACGGGACACGACGAGCGGTGCGAACAGCGCGAACAGGGGAGACAGGGTGAGTTGCAGGCTCACGACGCTTTGTAAGGGAGACCGGCTGCTGAGTGTAACGAGACGGGGCAGGCAGCGGCGAGCCATGAGGAAGGGCAGTGGACGAAGGAAGACTAAGAACCTGGCAGAGTATCGACTCGGGCGGAAGCTCAGAGACCTTCGGTGGCGGCACAAAAAACGGTCGCTGCTGCACAGGGCCTCCAGCTCCAGCACCTCCAGCACCAGTGCCTCCAGCGCCAGCGCCTCCAGCTCCAGCGCCTCCAGCTCCAGTGCCTCCAGCTCTAGCGCCTCCAGCTCCAGCACCTCCAGCTCCAGCACCTCCAGCTCCAGTGCCTCCAGCTCCAGCGCCTCCAGCTCCAGTGCCTCCAGCTCCAGCGCCTCCATCTCAAGCACCTCCAGTGTCAGCACCTCCAGCTCCAGCACCTCCAGCTCTAGTGCCTCCAGCTCCAGCGCCTCCAGCTCCAGCACCTCCAGCTCCAGCGCCTCCAGTGGTAGCACCTCCAGCTCTAGCACCTCCAGCTCCAGCGCCTCCACCTCTGGCGCCTCCAGCTCCACCGCCTCCAGCTCCAGCGCCTCCAGTACTAGCGCCTCCAGCTCCAGCAGCCCGACTCCTAAGGCGGGTGTGCTGAGCAAACCACTCGCGTAGCTGCTGTGGTGAGAGGGGCTCGCGCTGGCGAGTCAGCTGCAGCGAGGCACCCGGAAGACCACCAGCAGACGCAGAATCACTAGGCTCAGCACTCCCAGAAGCAGCACCCCCAGGCTCAGCACCCCCAGGCTCAGCACGCTCAGTCTCCGTACGCACAGGCTCATCATTCCGAGGCTCCGCACGCTCAGGCTCGACACCCCCAGGCTCCGCACCCGCAGGCTCAGCACCCCCAGACGCAGTACCCCGAGCAGCACCACCCCCAGCAGCACCTGAGTCACCAGCGGCGCGACTCCGAAGGCGTGTGCGCTGAGCAAACCACTCGCGCAGCTGCTGTGGTGAGAGGGGCTCCTGCTGGCCAGACCGCTGCGGCGAGGCACTCAGAGGACCTCCAGCAGACGCAGCACTACCAGGCACAGGACTCCCAGACTCAACACCAGCAAGCTCAGCACCCCCAGACGCAGCACCCCTAGGCTCAGCACCCCCAGGCTCCGCACCCGCAGGCTCAGCACCCCCAGGCTCCACACGCTCAGGCTCAGCACCCCCAGACGCAGCACCCCGAGCAGGACCACCCCCAGCAGCACCTGAGTCACCAGTGACCACGAAAGGCTCAGCCAAGGGAAGAGAGTCTACCTGAGAGACCCTGAGGGGAAGGAGCAGGACCCTGAGGGGGGAGGGGGTCTACTGGAGGGGGACCTGGAGCGAGGAAGAGCGGCGGGGGGGGGGGGAAGGGGCAGTGCGGTAGGGGAAGAGACGGTAAAAGGGAACCGACTCGTCAAACGTGACGTCCTGAGAGGGGAAGACACGGCGCGAAGTGCCAGCCAGGCCCGTCAGGGGGAAAGCCAAGGAAGACGCAGGGAATGGCACGAGAGGAGAGCTTGTCCGAGGAGCTATCGCGGACAAAGGCACGTGAGCCCCAGACCCGGAATCGCGACGCATCGCCAACCTACCCTAGTGTGGGCGAGGTCTCCGGCAAGGAGACACGGGGCCAGAGGTTGAGCTGATGCGCAGCGTACCGGACCGCAAACGGCGACCGCATGGGGTGACCTCCATGACTAAGCCAATGCGGCGCTCAGCAATCCCATTCTGCTGCGGGGAGGCCGGAAGCGTGAACGACTGGAGGATGCCCTCCCCACGACAAAAGTCCCGCAGGAGGTGGGAGGAGAAGTCACTACTTCTGTCAGAGTGCAGACGCAGGACAGGAAGGTCCTGGTGGAACCGCTCGCGGAGCTGAAGACGGACAGCACCGATCCAGGGGATCAAGACATCAGGGACCTCACCCTTGGTGCGCAAGGGGAAGACCGTGGTGTAATGCGAGTAGTCGTCAACAACCAGCAAAAAGTACCGCTCACGGCCCTGTCCACTGATGCAGGCTGGGCCCCACACGTCCATGTGGAGAGTCTGCAGGGGAGCAGTCGTCGGGGGAAACGAGGAGGAGTGAGAAGCGGCGCGCTGCCGCCCCTCGACGCAAGGAATGCAGGGCGGGGCAGGCGAGGGTGGGAGGGAAGGCAGAGACCTGGGAAGACCAGAGACCAGGAGGCGAGAGTGCATGCCACGGAGGCATGGTAGGGAGGGGTGACCAAGGCGGTGGTGCCAAAGGAGGGTCTGATGTGACAGGCGGTGACACTCACAGGAGGCTGCTACCTGACCGCACGCAGTCATCTGAGAAGACGCAGCGACCTGAGGCAGCGCATTGGTCAGTGTGTACAGGCTCGACCCAGGCCGACGGGTGAACGTGGCCAGGTGACGGCCAGTCCGGGAGCACGTACAGATCGCCACACGCTGCCCTCCAGGGGTAAAGGTATCAACCCCTGCATCCTGAAGGACGGCGTTACTCACCAAGTTCGTCGAGAACGAGGGGAGGTGGAAACCTGACAGTGAACCGGGCGGAACCGCCGGACATGGGAGAACAGTGGAGGAACGTGCAAGAACTGGGCCCCCAGAGGGGTCAGCCAGTGAGACTGCAACGGGTCTAGGGAGTGGTGTGACTGTGGTACTGTTGCGAAAGAAGCAGCGAGAAGCACTTGAGTCAAGCGTGAAGGTGTGCAAGGCCTCAGCAGGCGCAGTACCAAAGAGAGCAGACTCACTAGAGCAGCAGCCTCCATACCTGGGTCGGGCTGCGCACACAGGTAACAGTCACCCTCTCTACTGACAGTCAAAGCAGACATGGCAGTAAGGATAGCGTCAAAGTCTAGAGTAAATATATCCACGCTGCGTCGAATCAGCTATAGCCAGTAGGGGAGCTCAGCATCGTCGCCAAACTCTGCGCGCCAGGCGTCGCTCAGATAGGCTAAGTAGCGGGACTGTGTGTGGCCAACTGTCCCGCAAGTCTGACCAGCCTAAGCACCCGTGCGAATGACGTACGAACAGCGAGCAGTACTCCGAGACGTTCCTCGCTGAACATACCACTCACGAAGCCGCTGGGGCGTAAGGGTCTCGTGCGGACGCCGCTGCAGCTGCACCTGGCCACCGCCAGAAACTCCGCACCGAACAGCTCCACCGCGACTGCCACTACGGCTGCTGCCACCACTCTCACTGCTGCCACCACCGCCGCCACCAATCCCACCGCTACCACGAAGAGAACTCATAGCGGGTAAACCGAGGAGGCGTGCGACCAGCAGGGCAGCACTCAGAGAAGGCATGGCGGCGAGCAGGCATTAGGGTAGCGTGTAGGGTAGGGCAGGGCGGCGTACGGCCAGAGAAGGGCGGTGCGCGGCCAAGGAGGGCGGCGGTCGGTGAGCGGGGATGAGCGCGGGCTATAGATGGCGGCGCGATGGCTGGGGCTAGTGCGGGCTGCAGGGGTGAGCGCGGCCGCAGGGGCAAGCGCGGGCTGCAGGGGCAACCGCGGGCTGCAGGGGCAACCGCGGGCTGCAGGGGCGAGCGCGGCTGCAGGAGGGAGCGCGGCTGCAGGGGTGAACGCGGGCTGCAGGGGAGAGCGCGGCTGCAGGGGCGAGCGCGGGCTGCAGGGGCGAGCGCGGCTGCAGGGGCGAGCGCGGGCTGCAGAGGTAGGGCAGGGCGTGCGCGGGGGCGCGCGACGCAGGGCAGGGCAGCACGTACGGGCGACGCTGCGGGCTGGGGCAGCCCGCATGGGCAACGCGACGTGACGGGCAGCAGTAGCGCACGACGCGACGGGCAGCAAGGGCGTACGACGCGACGGGCAGCAGGGGCAGAGCGTGCGTGGGGCGGCGCACGGGGCAGGGGAGGCAGCGCAAGGGCTGCAGTTTCAGCGCGAGGGCTGCAGTGGCGGCGCGCGGGGCCGCAGAGGCAGCGCGAGGGCAGCAGGGAGCTGCGCGCGGGGCTGCAGAGGTAGCATGCGGGCTACACGGGCGGCGCGCGGGGCCGCACACAGGCGGCGCGCGGGCTGCAAGTGGTGGCGTGCGCGTGCGGTTCAGGGCAGGGCAGTGCGTGGGGTAGTGCGGTAACCGCAGTAGGTCACTAAGCGGATGGTGGGCCCGAAAAAAAATGGTACTACGGACCTACTGCTCTATAACCATGTTGAGAATACTAGGCAAGAATGAATGAACTAGGAAGAGTCGGGATACAAAATGGAAACCCTAGAATGTGTTGTACCCCATGTAAGCTACCCCACTACAGCCTACAACCAACGACGAGCATTATAGTTTGACAGCTTGATCGCTGAGAGCAGGGCCTCAGATTCACTTTTAGGGACGTTGATGCATCAGGGCCCATGTGACAAAAAGGCTGAAAATAAGTGTTCCTAAAAAAAAAGTCTGAATTTTCAGGGTTTCCAAAATAAGAAGCCTGATTTTCAATGACATGATATGTTGGATACAAAACCCAGACCTTACGAAACGTATCAGCTGCAAGACTCGATCAGGGGACTTAACCCTTCGCTAGCGAATTTACTAACAACTAGGACAGTTCAAACTATCGACTTCTGGATTTTGTGCTATTTGTCCCGTACATGTTGTAGAAATGGTTGACAACTAGTAATCTCGGGTGTTTTACAGCAGGAATTCGGAATGTGCATTCAGTGTACACTTCGATAAAAGGCTGAAGAATCAGTCCCCTTAGAGAGAAAAAAGGCTGAAATTTCAGGGTTACTTAAAAAAAAAAGGCTGCAACCTTGGTATCAAAAAAGGTTGAAATTTAGGAAAATCAGGTAAAAAAGCCTGAAGTCTGAAGGCCTGGCTGAGAAACGTCTACCCTGTCAGAATCCCAGCCACTAGATCACTAGGATAAATGGGCTTGTTTGTGCAGCGGGTCCGTGCGCGCCTGTAACCCCCCCTGGGATCAATCAAGGATCTCACAGTGCAAATCTACTGACACCCCCCCACACTGGGAGGTCCAGTACTGAGCATACCGGCAACGGCCTACATGTGCATACACCGGGATTCGAACCCGAGACCTTCGCTCTGATACCATGTCAGAATCCCAGCCACTAAACCATTGACATACCTCCTCCAAAAATTGAGATAGTGGGGAAGCGAAGGTGTAGGCGCGGTCCGATAAGAGATCGTAGGCGCTGAATACCAAGTGTTACGAGTGTAATTGAGTGAGCGAACGAGGATTGCACTATCGAGGTAAGAATGCATCAAGTGAATGAAATGAGCGAAGATTATATAGCGAAACAATAGTGGTAACGGCAACGCGAGAATTTGGGGTGCACGACGGGTTTCGCGCCGAGGTTGGGAAATGTCAAAACGGAGGTCCGAAGCGTGGTTTGGGTTACCAATCGAACCGAGAGGTTGGGTCGCGGCGCGAACATTGGCGGGAACAGTAGTCGAGACGAGTGTCGCGAGTAGTAATGGTGCACTGTCGATAACTATCGGCGGGAACAGTCGTGTTCGCAGTAAGTAGGGACGCGAAGTAAGGAAAAAAAGAATTTTTTTTATAATAGGAGAGGATATCTACGCTATGATATGTATTGGAGCCTGACACGTAACATCATCGAAACCCGAAACCCAAAACCGGTCTGAGGTTGCATTTCGATTCGTCTCCCCTCCGTTTCTTGTGGCAGGGGCGGGGGTTTCACGCAACACGCTGTACACCCTATTCGCGATAATTGCACACCCCCTACATTCTTTTTTGAAGGTGCCCTATACCGATTCAGGCTCGATATGACGGACACCCTGAAACTCAAGGACTATCAGTCGACAGCGAGATGCAGTTTCCCTTGAAATTACACCATGTGTTCCGAGTGAGGACGGGGTTGGGTAGGCACGACTGAAGTTTTTAATGCTTACGACTATTCGCGACTGGGTTTCGGAACACCCACCAGCTGTTCAATATTCGCAGCGAACTACCCTGCAATAATGTTTGTATCCCGGGTATGTACACCCAGGGTGTGCGTTTAAGGGGTGTGAAATTATCGCGAATAGGGTGTACAGCGGTGCTTGAGAAAGATTGCCTATCTGCCACAGCGACTCTTGGAGACTTGCTTGCCCTGGAACTCCCACGTTGACTCTCCCAGAGCCTTGCCAAGCGATTCCCCACTCCTGCATAGAACTCCCACAGCGACTTTCTCAGAGACTTTTCTTGACTAGGGATTCCCACGCCATCTGAAAATTCGATGCTATTTGTGAGCTCGTGTGCGGACTCACACTGCGACCTTTTTAGTTTTTGAGCGTTTACTTTAGCCCCATTGCAACTAATCTATTAGACAGAATGCGTGCTGCATCACCGATCGGACGGCTGTCAGACGATCTTCTCTCCGTTGTCTTTCGTTTCGTCTGTCAATCCGACGGCCAGTTCGAGCACGCTCTTGTGTGCAAGGAATGGCGGAGAATCACCCATAGCGTGCACGACCATATCCAAATTCGAGAAGAGCGTCGCATGCGTCCTCATGAGCTGCTCGCGCTCCTCTCGTCATTCCCAAGGCTCCGAAAGCTCGTCCTCGCCAACGGCAGCATCACGTCCGTCTCTGACTCCCTCCTCTCGCGGATTGCTGACATGTGTCCAGATCTGACGGGCCTGCACGTAGATACGATGAAACGACGGAACAGACGTGGGGGATTCACTGAGAACGGACTTTCGTATCTTTTTTATAAGTGCACACGGCTGGAGGGACTTGGTCTCGATTGTCAGTCGAATCTGACCGCCATTCCCTCATCAATTGGCGGCCTTGCGTCACTCAAGAGCCTTCACATCACCGACAGGGGGGGAATTGCTCTCCTTCCGGTCGCGTTCACCTCGTTGCATTCACTCACGCATCTCGTGATTGAAATGTACGGCTTGGATGAACTGCCTCAGGGCGTCGGCAATCTGAGGCTGCTCAAGTCCCTTCATCTGAACGGCTGCATGCGGCTCGGCTCCTTTCCCGATTCTTTCGGACAGCTAACTAACTTGACACATCTTTCCATCAGCGGTTCCAGGACAAGGCTTCAGCTGCCCGAATCTATCTCGAACCTCTCGTCCCTGGTGACACTCGAGATTTCCAACTGCTCAGACCTTTCACCGCTGCCCGAGAGTTTTGGAAACATGCCAGCGCTTGAATCCCTACGTTTGTTGGAGGTGGGGGGAATTACCTACCTGCCCGCCGGTCTCGGGCAGCTGCAGCGGCTGCGGCTCCTTTCAGTAACCCACTGCGACGATTAAAGATCACTCCCTACCTCCCTTTCCTACCTTCCTTCCCTGACGGACCTTATTCTCGCCGGCCTAACCCTCCACCTTGTGCTGGACGACGTCGGTGTCCTGCCACACCTACACACACTCAAGCTAGGCATCAAACTCTCGTGCATCTGCCTCACTCCATAACCCTTGCCACTGCACTCAAGAAACTCGCGCTGGAAATCTTCAGAGCTCTTCAATCGCTACCCGAGGATTTCGGGCAGCTGACTGTCCTAGAGACGCTACGCTTAGTTAAGCTCCCGCAGCTTAGCAGCCTGCCAGCATCGCTTGGCAACCTGACGAGCCTTAAGGAGCTGAAAATAGCCGAGTGCAGCCTGCTGACGCAGCTTCCGGACTCCCTAAGTCAGCTATCTTCCCTCGAGCTACTGCAGATCAATGACTGCTGCAAGCTGAGATCGCTACCGCATGGCATGGGGGATGGTCTGCATAGCCTGTGCAGACTGTATCTACTCGACTGCACGACTCTCACCCACGTCCCTCGATCCTTCTCCAGCCTCGCGTCCTTGCGAGTCCTAGCAATCTGTGAAGCAACCAGCTTACGAGGCACACTACCAGGCAGGTTTTCCCACTTGACAAGCCTCAAGGAGCTTTATCTCTCCTCCTTGAATGCCTCCCTCCCTGCCTTCGCCCGCACTCTCACCCGCCTCGTGGTCGTCAGGTCCACGCGAATCAAGGCGCTGCCACAGGAGATTGGACGGCTGGGAGAGCTTGTTACACTTAAGCTCTTACTACTACCCAACTTGAAGTTGCTCCCTCACTCGATGTATCAGCTGCCGCGGTTGAAATCTCTGCAAGTGAGTTCCTGCAGCGCATTGGAGTCGCTGTTTGGGGATAAAGACCAGGGGGGTGCACACATGGGGGTTGCACGCAAGGGGGATGCACGCACGGGAGCCTCTGGGCAAGATCGTGGGGGAAGAATCGCCCGTCTGGAGCTAGCCAGTCACACGGGTAGCAGCAGAGCCGCTGGCAGCTGTGGGGGGCTTGAGAAGAGTGGTACGGGTGTGTTGCTGCCATCCCTGGAGGTCCTTGAGCTTGCAGAGCTTCCCCTGCAGCACCTCGGTGCATGGCTGGGCTGCCTCCCGTCGCTAACAAGCCTGCAAATCTTCCACATGGATCGCCTCCAATCGCTCCCAGACTCAATCTCTCGCCTCTCTTGGATGCAGTCACTGGAGATCATTCATGCCAAAAGCCTGCTTGCTCTGCCAGAGTCAATGGGAAAGCTCTCAGCACTCACATCCCTCCATCTGAACGGTCTCATGGGCTTGACTGAGCTGCCCGAGTCATTGGGGTAGCTGAAGAAGCTTCAATCTTTTCAGATTCACAACAGCCCGGGCCTAACCAGGCTTCCCAAGTCCTTCCCTGACCTCTGCGGACTGCAACGGTGTGGTGTGTCCACTGTTGGAATCTCGAGCTTTCCTCATGACTTCTGGAAGCTCTCTTCTCTCGTGGACCTCTCTTTGATGTTCCTGCCCAATAAATTTTCGCAGCTGCCCGGATTGGAGGACTTGTACCTGTACAGATGCAATCGGCTGGCCCGGTTACCCTGGGGGCTGCAGCAGATGGGGAAGGTGCAGACATGCAGGGTGAGTGAGTGCCCGGTGATGGGGGATGAATGGAGGATGGTGGTTTACAACCTAGACGATGGAGAGCGTGCTGTGTGTGCCTCAGTGGGAGAGGATCTGGTGCAAGAAGATGGGGAGGACGAGGATGAGGAAAGGGATGGGGAGGAAGAGGATGGGGAAGGGGATGGGGAGGAAGAGGGTGGGGAGGAAGAGGATGGGAGAAAGAGGATGGGGAGAAAGAGGATGGGAGAAAGAGGATGGGGAGAAAGAGGATGGGAGAAAGAGGATTGGGAGGAAGAGGACGGGAGAAAGTGGATTGGGAGGAAGAGGATGGGAGAAAGTGGATGGGGGGAAAGAGGATGGGGAGGAAGAGGATAGGGAGGAAGAGGATGGTGAGGAAGAGTATGGGGAGGATGAGGAGAATGAGGATGGGGGAGAAAGAGGATGGGGAGAAAGAGTAAGGGGAGGAGGAGGATGGGGAGGAGGAGGATGAGGAGGAATTGGGGACAAAGGAGGAGGATGAGTGGAGTGAAGGGGAGGAAGGAGAGGGGAGCGAAGGGGAGGGGAGTGAAGGGTAGGGGAGTCGGGGAAAAGGGAGAGGAGGTGAAGTGAGCTGGAGATGAGATGAGGAAGAGGAAGACAGGGATGGGGAGGTGAGAGGGGGATGATGAGGAGGTGGAAGAGGAGGATCTAAAGGAGGAATAGGGAGGGGGGACTTGCATTGGTGGAGGGAGTGGGGGGTCAACCAGAGAGAGGAGAAGAGTATATTTGTATGCAGTCACTGTCAATATTATGTGATGGCTATGATATACTTTGTACTCCTTGTTTGGAGGACACATGCTATGAGGCTTCTAGGTAGTTGTCATAACTTTTAAGGTGAGGCCTAAGATATGCTGACAGAGGGTAAGGGTGAGGACAATTGGGGGAAACACTGTACGTTTGTGCATAATCGAGGCACCTAGTAGCGGAGAGCAGAGGTGGCAGCGGTGAGGTTGGTCTGGTAACTCGGCAGAGTGGGCCTTCAAGGTGTTGGATGGCAGAGGGTGGCGGAGGGTCGGGAAAGCAAAGTGGTAACTGTTGGAAACAATACAATCCGCGCTTCTGATGTGTCAAGCACCACAATGCAAATGGAGCAGACCACAGCGAAGCACCATTGAATCAACCGAAACTACAGTGGAGCAGTTGACAAGAAAGGCGACAATAAGAGGTTAAGGAAGGTCAAAGGTCAGCGACCTTTGAGTCGTCGAAAAGCAGCGCGACAGCAATGACACACAACTGACTCGTCATTGAGTAGTTGCCCGAGTCGTCGCTGTATCGAATCGCAACAGCAGGTGTAACAGCAGTTAGTTAAAACTTTCATATTCCTTGTAATCATATAAAAGACTTTGTATTTCCTTGCTATAATCAACTTATCTTGTCCTCACACATCAGCACAAGGTGGTTCAACCAGTTCACTAGAACGCTTCCGCAAATTACATTATTATTATAAGTCTCGGTCTTGAAAACGATCCTAAGGGATTTTCTCAGCCCAACATGGTATCAGAGCTGCAAGCAAGACAAGGCTCAACTCTGTTCAACTTCTTACAACATCCAAAGGCATGGCAACACTGAAAGAGAGAGGCTCGTCTACTGGATCTCCCGGAACTACTCCTACCCCACCACCAGCCTCTGGACTACAGACAGAGGGAGGCACAACTCAAAGACCAGCTGCCGAATCTACTGAAACTCCCGTTAACCAGCAACCGGCTTCGACCCAAGCATGATAGAGAAGTTCTTCTCCTTCATGTCGTTCTACGAACAATAGCAGAAAGCGGCACCTGCGCAGTCAAACAACAGCAACAACAACGGCCTTACCCCCATGAGTCTCGATGGCTCATCCTTTGCGCGCGGAAACCAGCAGCCTACCTTCACGCCGTACGAGCCTCAACGCGCCGAATCGACTTCTAGGTACACCTGGACAAGAAACAAGGCCAATGGATGCGCTTCAGCTGCAGTCACAGTTTGCACACGTTTTGAAACTACAAACGACAACACCTTTCGATGGCGAGGACTTCTATACCTGGTCCTTCGAGTTCGAGCTGATGATGGAAGGCGCTCAAATTCTTGGCTTCTTCGACGGTTCCCTGCCATATCCAACGCACGGGACACAGTACAACAAGCAGCAGTACACGTATCAATCACTGATGGCGTACACAATTCTCATGCGAAACATAACGGCAAACGAGCAGCAGAACATTCGGTCTTATCGCGGATACGGTAACTCCGCCGAACTCGCGTACAACCACTTGAAGACCCTATATCAAGCAAACGACAGCGTTAATCAGAGTTGTCTCATGGCGCAATTGACAACAGTCCAAATGCAACCCGGCGAAAAGGGAATGGCATATATCAGTCGTTGCCGTGGTCTATGCGACAGGCTCCATCGATGCGGCGGATCACTATCCGAAGAGGCATTCGTAACCGTCGTCATTGCCGGCATCGGACCCCAGTGGCGCTCCATGCAAGCTATCCTTCGACGCCACGGACAAATCTCCAAAGCAGCCCTCTGCGCAGAAATCCACGCCGAGCAACAAGTCATGGACCTGCTTGAGGAACGACACAAGAAAAGATAATCAGTACCGGAATTCGCCTTCCACACTCAGAGACGCTACAACAACAACAACAACCGAGCACACGAGCATCAGGCACGAAGACACGTACCACCATTCTGTCACCTCTGCAGAACTTGTGGACACTCCCATGTCCACTGCCCAAATCAGCAGCAGTCAACGCCACCACCACGTCAATTTCGACCTTCAAGCAGTCAAGTGACTTCCACGCAGCCACATCCTTCCAACCAGGCGCAGTCCTCAACAACACAACCTGCACGAGGCACAAGAAATATCGTAAGCTGCATGACAAGGACGGACTCCTGCGTCACCGAATCACCACCGACTTACTCACCGGAAGATCTGCTCGACGAACGTACACCTCGTCGCGAATCACTGGAGCTGAACACGACGTATGCAGCCATCGCCCAGAGCGAACCATCTGGGAAGGACACTTGGTTCTTGGACAGCTGCTGCGGACAACACATGTGCTCCTCGAATTGTTTCGTTCAACGGGAACAACGCCTCAATCGCGAAGTCGCGATAACCGTCGCCAACAACCAGAACCTGCATACACAAAGACAAGGAGTGGTTCAGTTACAGTCACGGGAAACTAAAGTTATTCCGCAAATTTCCAAAGTTTTAATTGCAGATGGACTCGGCTACAACTTACTGATCGTCAGTCAACTCATGGCGAAGGGGATTCACCTTGTTGAAGTCGATAGCATCACTCAGGAGTTCAAACAGTACAAGGGGAAAGGCGGCCTCTACATCGGGAAGGTGGTCCTGAAGAACGACGTCTTCATCCTCGACTTCGTTCCAGATCAAGGCACCGCCGACAGCGATGGGATCGTAACCTTCACCACTTGGACGCATCCGCCAGATCTTGACCCCAACTTCAGTCCCAGAGGCTTCTGGCATTCACGCACGATACCTGTGGCAGAACGCACAAGAGCATTAGCCGTGACACAACAGGAAGCAGCAGAGACAACATCGGCACCAGCAGAGACAACAGTAGAACCAAGCCTCCCTGTCGCAGGACCCTCAACGGCACCACCTCTCGAGGAACCGACACCAACTCCAGCCCGACAGCTGACTCCAGTCCCACGAGCCATCCACCAAAGCGCCAACGTCGTCACCAGCTTCTACTCCAACTCAGACATGTACAGACAGTCACCTGGACATCGCGCCAACGAATCACTGTGGCACGAGAGGTTAGGTCACCCCAGCAACACGACGCTGAACAACACGATAAGAGCAGGAGTTATTGACAAAGACTCCCTACTCCTACCCGACGGTAGAGAACTACAACGAGCTCGAGGAACATGCTTCACCTGCCCCGAAGCCGACTTACCGCATCAACCGTTTGTTTCTCACCACAACCCGAGCACGCCAGCATACGCACCACTTGAAAGGGTCTACAGCGACATCCTGTACGCCCACGATAAGCGGACAAGGAGACTACAACTACGTCATCACCTTCATTGACGCTGCCTCCAGATACGTCTGGCACCTTAATCTTCCGAGTCGCGACATGGCTTTCGAAGCCTTCGTCGCCTGGCTACTAGTAGCAGAAAGGGAATCAGGAGTAAAGCTGAAAAGCTTTCAATCAGACGGGGGAGGAGAATATCAGTCACAGAGGATCAAGCAGTACTTGGCGGAGAGAGGCATCAAGTGGCTCATCTCCCTTCCCTACGCTCATCAACAGCAAGGCGTAGCAGAAAGGATGAACAGAACCCTCCAGAACACCATGTGCAAGCTGCTACGTGGCATGCGACTACCCAAGAGCCAGTGGCCTGCAGCAATGGACTAAGCTGTCATGCTGCACAACTTGCTCTCGTCGTCCTCACTTCCGAACAACGCATCACCGCACCTGCTGTGGACAGGAAAATTGGGCAACACAAAAATGTTATGAGTGTTCGGCTACATGGTACAGTACCGACCGCACACTGCACGAGCCAGACGATTTTCACAACGCGCACAGTGGGGACTACACCTGGGCATCGAAAAACATCACAACGAGTGGAAGATTTTTTACGTCCACTCGAAGGAAACAGTAGCAGCACGTGATGTTATCTTCTACGAGCGACTCACCCTTCAGACGTACCTGACCAATCTGGAAACTCAACGAGACCCCACAGG